GCTTTGAGACTCAGATCTGCAGTGAAAAGGCGGTATATAAATAAAAACTTACTTACTTACACTAGCTTTCTTTACTTTCTTGTCGTATTAAAAGACTTGAAAGCCTTAAACAGAAGAAGTCAAAATGAACTGTTTACATAGAATACAGGCAGGTTAGATGTGTGATATATGTTTGTGCGTCGACCAAGTGTTCTGTGGGGGAAGTGAAAAAAGGATGTCCTGATATTCTATTTGATTGGTACAGTGCAAGTAAATACACACACACACACACACACACTTTGGAAAATAATTGCTGTGATTTGAAGAATTGTGCAATTCTGCTGAGGACGAGGGGGACCAAGTGGACAGACCAAACCAAACCATTACACTGCCAAACAACATGCCTGTTTTCAGCTTGATTCAATTAAAGTAAATGAATTTGGGTTTTTTATAGTCCTAAATGACAACAGCAGTCGTCTGAGGACACAGTTGTCATTTCTCCAACAACAGATCAGAGAAATCAAACAGTTAAAACACAGGAAATGCAATAATAACAAACACATAGGAGCCATTGGGAGCAGGACGACCACTGTCCACAAAAATGAATAAAAGTCCTTAAATGTCCGGGATCATCACTGACCTCCTGGATGTGCAAGGAACAACTAAAAGAAAAAACAGTGTGAAAAAAGTGGTAAACCTTGTGGAGGCCAATATTGAGAGGGGTCTGCTCTAAAAGCTTAAGCGTTTTTAACTCATAAAAAATAAATATAAATCAATCATTGTCGGGCATAGATTTATTCAAAATAATTTGAATAACTTAACATAAAGCCTTATGGCGACACGCTGCTGTCAAAAGATTGATTAAAAGTAAATGAGATGGTTGAGTGGAATGCAGCACACCTCACCTCTGGGGGGGGCAGGACAAAAGAAGGCAGCCCCACTACAGTGTCATCCGGCCAAGGCAAACAGCCCCTCACCCGGCTCCTAGACCCTCCCCCACTCTACCACTTCCGCTGCACAATCACAACTATGTGCCGTAGGTGTGTGTGTGTGTGTGTGTGTGTACGTGTGTGTGCTATCTTTGGGACCTGTGTTTGCCAAAGAAACATTTGGAGTCAGTTGTGAACTTGGTGCGAACTTTAGTGTAACTGTAACACGAGAAAAACAAGCAACATCGTGGCCACTCTTCCTAGATTTTTTTATAAAATATACATTTTGTTTATCCCAGCGGTCCTAACACACTGATCCTTTGAGTCAATATTTGACGCTTTGGGCAGTGAGCAGGTATTTTTCTGTCTGATAAAGCTGGTGTGAAAACTTGTGATAGAAGCAAAGGCTGAGGAACTATTTAGGAACCGTTTAGACGGAGACGCTGCAAAGCAATTTACAAAAATCGTCCAGTTTGGACGAACGTAGGAGTAGAATCCTCCCCTGTTCAGCGCTCGAAGCATACGTTAGCATTAGTGTATCTATTGTCATTGTTGTTTACGTTCGTTCTCGGCTACTGCGCGTGTCCAAATGTACGTGCGGGAAGTGGAGGTCATAGTAGCAGAGAATTCTCAACTTTTTCTTCACACAGCTGTGAAACAGCCCCCACTGAGCAGTGTATCTGTTCTGTTCCACTTTGGAGGCTGTTTCTCAACGCTTGAGTTTTCACCTGAAACACAGTCTTCATGTAAACAAAAGGCCAAACCGAAACCAACTTTTTACTGTCGCAGCATCTCAGTCTAAACATGGGGTAACTTTGTAATTCCACCCTAATCTAAAACCAGTAATGCAGTGTTTTTTACTACGACTAAGATGAGTTGTGGTCTGAACTTTATAATTTCATTTATAAGTCAAACATTTGGGACACAGTTTATTATTATCGTACTTGAGTGTCAAGACGTTTTCAATCCATTCAAATAAATGGTAACGAATCATTTAAGAGGAAATGTTGGGATATTAGATATTCTTAGTTTAGTTATTGATGTATTTGTCCATTATGAACATTAGATCTTAGGTCACACGTTTTCAAAAATCTAAACATTTTACAATTACATTAAGAATGTTTATGAAGAATGTTGGCGCTAAATAATGCCGGACCGAGAGGGTTTACTGTGAAGTCAGTTTTATCCCGCTGAACCCCTTTTGTCCAAAGACGACACATTATAGAGATTCTCATTAACCAACAATGGGAACATGTAGCACTAAACTTCAACTTCGACATTCAGAATTATTAAGTACAATCCAATTCAAGTGGTCAATACTTTTCCATATGGTTTAACTTGTACTTATTAGTAAAGGTAGACCGTTCTATAGATCAACTCCTTTGACTCATAGTAATACTTATAAGTATTACTCCTCAAATTGTTCAATCTCAATTTCCGATTATATTTTAGTTTTGGGGGTGAGGGATGTGTCCTTAGGCAAGACACTTCACCCACATTGCCAAATATGACCCCTGACGTAACTCAAACTTGGGCGTGGGTTGTATTTAGAGCGGGTCTGCTGCAGTTGGTAACCTACACTGCGGCTCGGTTCTGCCCCAAACCACAGGGTCAACACGAGGGCAGCGGCAAGTCCGAGTTCACGACAGGTGATCGGAGAGGCTCATTCAATTCAATGTATTTGTGTAGAGCCCTGAATCACACCAGCAGTCCCCACAGAGCAGAGCAACCCACCCTGCCTTGCCATCGCCCGGTAGATCGAGATAGACGTATGGAGCCACCCTGTACTCAATGAATACGTTTATATGTCGTTATCTGTACAATTTCAACATTTAATAAATCTATTTTCCCATAATATAATAGAAAATGACATCACTTTGTTTTTTCCACAGGCTCAAATGTGTGTCTTCAATAGTCTTGTGCTTTGGGCTCTAAAGTGTGGTTGTGTTGACATGCGTAGGGCCAGCAGGGGGCGTGGTCTCAATAATCATGTGCAGTGTGTTATGAGCCTGTGATTAAGGAATGGTGTGAATATTCAAGTGTGTTTGAATGGAATCTTTTTACATTAATTCTAAAATAATAATTCCTCAGCTATATGTAAGATCCCTATGAAGAGCCAACCTCCATTAAGGAAAATTCTCAGTTTATTCCCATTGAATGTTTCCATCTTTGAAATTTCTTTGAAACTCCATGGAAAACGTTTCAAAGCTGTCGATTTGCCAACAACAAATCAGAGAATCAGACAGTGCGAACCCAAGAAATGGAACAATAACAAACTCATGGAGACGTCCATAAAAGTTTATCTTATCTTAAGTGCTAAGTCAGACGACCAGAGCAGCCCCACCTCTGTCAGACTGTGATGAGTGGTATTACAGAGCGTCATGAAAAGCTCAATGGTAGAAGCTATGCATTAATAACAAACAGGACTTTGCAGGTGCCCAATTTACCAAAATAATTATTCGCCATCGTGAGCAAAAGCACTGGGCCTGATATTACTTTACATTACGACTAGAACCAGATCCATTTTAATGAGAATAGCTGCAGTTTGAGTGGGAGGTCATGTTTGGAAAGTGGAAAGCTCCTGGTCCGAACAGTGGTTGAAAACAAGCTGCTGTTGGAGCGATCAGTGAAGAGTAAGGAGTGCCGAGGAGGGGGCAGTGGAGAGGTACTCGAATACTTTAGTCCATTGATCTTCAGGGCTAGGTTTCACAAAGGTAAAACACACGTATGTTACTAATGCTGAGGAACTACTTCTACTTCACTGGAGGTCCAAATGTAACTGAAAACGTAACCACAGGAAATATTGGTTGACGAATGACATCCAATCACAAATGCTATTGACTCTACTCTGTTCTGAATAAATTCCACATTTTCACCATGACTCTCAAGTGATCTAGAATTATTTATATAAAATACAGAGCTTGGTTTGTGTTAACTAAGACGCCATTGACCGGTCAACTAAAACACCAAAGCCTGCAGCCATCTGATACATGAGCATTTAACCTGTAACCACAACCCACTGGTCAAGAGTCACTGGTCACAAACAAACCCCACAGTAATGAGAGGACCTTTAAGCCAACAACACCAGACTGACCATTGTCCACAGCACACCATGGCCCACACTAGTAAGATTAAGAGATCCTTTAAATCATCCCTCAGTGGGGAAATGTCAGTGTTGCATCACCAGTTACAGAACAGTAGGAATGAGGAGCACACGGCACAAGATAAATGAATATTAAGTACAGCACAACTGTATACTCTGCACGAGCCTGGCCTTAAACTCAGGTCAATTATCATATCCCTGTGAGTGCGATGTTGTGGTCTGACCAGGCTACTCTGCACAGAACATGTCACTCCATATGCAACACATGGAGACGCTACTCTTTCTTGTTCAAGTTACAGAGAGGGGTGAGAGGCAGAGGGGGAGAGGCAGAGGGGAGAGAGGCAGAGGGGGGAGAGAGAGGCAGAGGGGAGAGAGGCAGAGGGGAGAGAGGCAGAGGGGTGAGAGAGGCAGAGGGGGAGAGAGGCAGAGGGGGAGAGGAGGCAGGAGGGGGAGAGGGCAGAGGGAGAGGCAGAGGGTGAGAGGCAGAGGGGGAGAGGCAGAGGGGTGAGAGTCAGAGGGGGAGAGGCAGAGGGGGAGAGAGGCAGAGGGAGAGAGAGGCAGAGGGGAGAGAGGCAGAGGGGGGGAGGCAGAGGGTGAGAGGCAGAGGGGAGAGAGAGGGAGGGGAGGGGAGAGGCAGAGGGGAGAGAGGCAGAGGGGAGAGGCAGAGGGTGAGAGGCAGAGGGGGAGAGGCAGAGGGGGAGAGGCAGAGGGGTGAGAGGCAGAGGGGGAGAGCAGGCAGAGGGGAGAGAGGCAGAGGGGAGGAGCAGAGGGGAGAGGCAGAGGGGGGAGAGAGCAGAGGGGGGGGAGAGGCAGAGGGGGAGAGGCAGAGGGGTGAGAGTCAGAGGGGGAGAGGCAGAGGGGTGAGAGTCAGAGGGGGAGGGGCAGAGGCAGAGGGGGAGAGGCAGAGGGGGGAGAGTCAGAGGGGGGAGAGGCAGAGGGTGAGAGTCAGAGGGGGAGAGGCCGAGGGAGGAGAGGGGTGAGAGTCTTACCCAGGTGTAGGGTCAGGTTGATGGACTGTGGGTACTGGACCCCCGCTAACATGGTCTGGCTCTGCCACCAGGTGGCGTCCAGCTGGTTGTTGTAGTCCGTGAGGTAGACCGCGCTGTGGTGGTGGCGCGGGTCTCGTGCGTCGCAAATGTGGCAGGACTTGGTGACGCCGGTGGCGCCGGTCTGGACGCAGTACTCCTCTGGCGGAGAGCCGCATGTGTTCGTAGCCACCACGGTCACGTTAAAGGCCGCGTTCACAAACTCTGGCATACACCTCTGCGCGCTCCCGTTCTCGTCCGAACACTCGTCCATAGCCGCGCGCGTGCACGACAGCGCACAGCACCACGCGAGCAGAGCCGCGAACCTCCGGATCCAGGCCATGTCCCGGTCACAGTCCGCCCGACACCGCGCCGTGAGTCCGAGGAACTTTGATGAACTTTGAGCAGGAACGCTCCGGGTGCGCGCGTCTCCTCTGGCTCTGGTCTCTGTCTATGGCTCTGGTCTATGGCTCTGGTCTATGGCTGTGGTCTCTGAGCAGCAGGATCCTGATGTGCTCCTCGGGACAGCGCAGGGAAGAGTGCGCAGGACACTGCAAACTCTCTGACTACACCCTGTGCGCCAGTGCGCATGCTCTGAGGGCCACAGGTCCGCGAGCGCTCCTGCCCCCTCCTCAATCCTGCCCCGTCCTCACTCCTGCCCCGTCTGCCCCCTCCCTCCTCATGTCTCTATCCGACTGTGTTTACATATTTTATTTAATTAGAGGGCTTTGTCTTCAGGTGTTGAATGAGGCCCTGGGGGGCCCTCAGCAGAGCACGTAACACAAGAGTGTTACTTTTACGGCGAGCTGCAGTGACACCACCTGTTGAACATATATCTATATTTTATAAAACAAGGGTTTTTTGAAGCTGCTCTGCACTACTTTTTAAGGTCCTCTCCTTATTGTTTCTGCTTTCTTTGGAATGCTCCTCATTGGATGGTTTTCCTGGACCTTGAATCTCAGATGAAGTCCCAAACTGGTGTCCTGTGGAGATGGACAGTAGAATGTCATGTTGTGGAACATCTCAGGAAAAATAACATTCAAAAGAGTGGAACCTCCACCAAGGATCTCTGCAGGAGGACGGTCCAGCTCAACAGCCCGGATTAAAAATATTAGTTTCCCGGAGGCAAAAAGTGTTTGTGGATATTTTATGCATGTTTACACTATGGAGATATTTTGACATTTAACCTGAATTTGTATATTATTTTCCAGCAGAATTTTCAGAACAAATCTAGTTGTTGCTGTATGTTTGGAATGAACCAAAACTGGCTCAGTTTGATTTATATTTTCAAATAATCAATTATAATTGTTGATTTATCATGAGTTAATAATTGTTAATTAATGGATCAATTCAATCAATCAATGTATGAAGAGATATTCACAAATGTGTCTTATAACCGCTCATAAATGAGCAGTTAAAGGTTTGTACATAACAAATACTAATCCCCAAACACAAACATTCACATTTATTGTATTTATTTGGTTGGGACAGTGTGTATTCATGAACAGCTTCAAACACATTGGATTTGATTCGTTTTGCTTCACACTCATCACTCATCCACACTGAACTATGTTTTTAGGAATCGCACCGAGGACCTTCTTGATGTGAAGCACTAAGAAGCACCAACCACAATATTCCTCAACTCTAACCTCACAAGTTATTTGGGGTTAAGGCGCCCTCTACTAGAGGTTCTTGTAATCCAGCATTTAATTCTGAATCCGAAGATCTGAGATTACAGGCTGAGCGAGGTCAGACCCCAGAGTGCCAGATAAGAACACATTCATGGAGAAAAGAGGAGCCGGAGGCTGGGATTTACTGTCTTCATACAAGAAGAGCCAGGATCTGCAGCTGTGTTCGGAAAATCTAATGCTGCATCCAAACTCAGAAAACTCCTTTTATGAGGTTAAGTGAAATGTAAGATCTTTTCATTATTTCACATTATTCCTTAGTGCATTTAATTTGCTCTGCCGTTCCTATTTTAAATCACAAACCAGTACAAAATAGAACTCATGTAAATCCATGTTTTGGACAGAAGCCAGGCACTGACGGGGAACACATAACTCCAGTTACTCCATTAGCTTCCTGTGGAGTAAAGACAGACATAATCCTGCAACATCCTCTTTTTGACAAACAAGGGGATGAGTGGTCGAGTGGATAGCGCTCCCTCTCTTCAGTAAGAAGGTCCTTGGTTCGAATCCCGGTCGGAATGGGGTCTTTCTGTGTGGAGTTTGCATGTTCTCCCCCTGCTTGCGTAAGTTTCCTCCTGGTTTCCCCTACCATAAAAAAACATGCACACAAGGTAAATCCTCCAGTTCCGGTCCTGACCATGCCGAGCATCAACATCTGAAGATGGGTTCCCGGGCGCTGTACTGCGACCACTGCCCCTGAAGGAAACCATAGTGGCATCAGGATGGGTCAAATGCAGAGGATGAATGGCCCTATGGGGTAAAGTGCACCTTTAATGGAATGGCTCCCTCGTACCTCCAAGACACGTTAGTATATCAACCAAACTCTCACTGCACTTGATAAATACCAGACTTTTGGTAGTTCCTAAAGAGTCAGCCTGTGAGTATTTAGTGAACAAGTTCCTACACTGTGGAATCAGCTCCCCATCCACGTCAAGGAAGCAGACAGTCGACATTCAAGGCCAGGCTTAAAACAGTCTTCTTTAGTTCAGCTTATGGTTAGATAGGTGAGACTTTACAACAAGCCAAATGGAGACATTTTACTGGGCTCTTTAAACTGCTGAGATTATTATGAAAAGGACAATACAGCAGTGACCAGAACTGGGGTCTCCAACCTGTGGCTCGGGAGGTACCAGTAGCTTGCCACTCTTTCAGGTAACTCCACAAAGGATTCAAGAATTTAACACGAGATCCAGAGTCCTTCACCTTTAAGTTATTACATATAGCAACTAATGGTTTTAAGTTAACGCAGGGATTCTGTACTGGTATCTTCTTCATGTGAATTCTCCATGACTGACTGAAGTTATTTACAGTATTTAGACTACAATTATATTACGACTGGTAAAAGGAAAAGCTCTCTGCCATTAAAGTTTAAAAGCCGCCTCCGGACAAAAGCAGTATTCTTCCCAGAAAAGTAATTGATTCAATAACTGGTTTATAATAAGCGAGCCAAAATGTCAAACAAAAACACACACGTCACACACTTTCAGAAAATGTGCTTTAATTGAACAGATGCAGGACAATAAATCCTTTTGTACGAGTGCACTTAAACAAGAAAACAGAGTTAGCCACCATGACTCAGGACCTTTTCTAAACGTTTACAGCACATGCAGGACTAAACACATTGAAACTTAATGTTTTCCATTGGATTATGAGAACAGAACACTATCATCTAGAATGACTTTGACCCACTTTGAGGAGTTTGGGCCAACATTTTAATTTGGACGACAGATTTCAGGCTTTTAGATTTGAGTGAATTAGGAAATGCACTATAATATGGACGTTTTTGTTTGGCCCCTCATGATCTGTGATTGGTTGAAAAGATGAACTATCAATACAGTAACAGATGGTTGGTGATTTTAATAATAATAAAGTCTTGTCAAAGTTGAGCTCCACTTGGATATTTGCAGTAATGCGATTGAAGAAAAAAACTCTGAACAAATAGCAGTTCAGTGATGAGGTTATGCAGAGGACATAGCTTTTCAAAACATGCCAATTGTGAAACACTGCCACAACAAACCAACACTTCAGATCCCAAAACAGTCAATTTGACAGCTTTTCATTTTGGAACCATAATTGTTCAGGCAACCAACATTCAATAAAGTTGTATAGTTCTGTATTTTAAGTTATATTCACCAGTTTTGGCACTCATTAACAGTAGAAACTTTAGAAATTACTTCATTAAAAAAACTTGTGTAAAACTTGAATAAAAGCCATCAAAATGACTACTCTGGGAGGTGGAGTAGTTTCAGAATTGTGGAGGTCTTGGTGTTAAAGTTGTGGACCAAAGGAGAACCCAGAACTTTCTCCAAACAGATTCAGTTTTGGAATGATACCGATGTCGTCGCATAACCTCCTTCAGGCGGCCATTACCTCCAAGTGCTGCCTCCCCCGTACCCCCCAGAGCCTCCTCTGTACCCTCCCCGGAAGCCGCCTCCTCCGCCTCCACCTCCCCCATAGCCTCCTCGGTACCCTCCCCCTCCTCCTCCTCCATAACCTCCTCGGTATCCTCCCCCTCCTCCTCCACCGTAGCCTCCTCTGTATCCTCCCCCTCCTCCGCCGTAGCCTCCTCGGTATCCTCCCCTGTAGCCGCCGCCGCCGCCGCCGCCGCCTCCATCGTAGCGAGACATTTTGGGTGGGGGTGGGCCGTCTCCCGACCTAAAACACACAAGTGAGACACAGTTTGATTCATATGTAGTATAAAATTTACAAAGTTCTATGATATACTGTTTGATTTCATTAGACGATAACGTGTATAAGACTCAGTTCTCCTTCTTTGCGTTCACTGTTTCAGATTGATCCGGACCTGGTTTGGCTCTTCATCATGTTCATCCCGACGGCTGTGGGGTTGGAGATCTGGCGGATGAGGTTGATGAGGCGCTGTGTGGTGGGGTCCATCTGTCTGATGTACTCTGGGTCTTTAGTCACCTCCACGACCTGTGCCTCCAGAGCCGCTCGCAGGGCTAAGATCCCCCCAGCCACATCATGGGAGATGCGCAGCTTTATCCTGAAAACACCAACATTTGGTTCAACTCAGAAAATGTGATTCACTTTACTACTTTTTCTTCTGAATGTGTAGAAGAAAAACATTGATGAAATAAGTGCGAGAAAGCAAAGTCAATGTCAAACAGACGAGGGTAATACGTGTGTGGTCTTCCTGTGTCGTTGTTAAACCATTGTGCATTCGAAAGGAAATGCTCACAGTCAAATGATTCGTTTATTGAAAAAGAATCAACTGCAAAGTGAGGCCCTTTTCTAAGATCACTCAAGTGCCTTTAGAAGTTTCCTGATGACTGGTTCTCAAAATCAGCAGTAAAACAGTGGCTCAGAATAAACTTTAAAGCAGCTCTGTTTGTTACAAGTCTCTCCAGGGCCTCGCACCAAAATACATCTGTGACATGTTAGTGCCCTATGAACCGAGGACTCTGGGACGTGGGGACTGGCCTCCTGCTGGTGCCCAGAGTCAGGACTAAACATGTGGAGGGAGTGTTTCAGATTTATGCAGCTATAATCAGTCTTCCTGCCATGACTTGACCCAATGTGGACGACTTTCTGAAACCCAATGTAAAAAATGCAGTATTTCTCTGGTAGCTCCAGTGGGATTCGACATGAGCCCAGTCTCTAGAACAGAGAGTGTGTGAAGTGGGAGTGTGGCCTCACCAATCGTCCAGCTCCACAAAGTCTCCGTTAGAAGTGATCTTTTTACATCCAAACAGGAGCAGCTGCAGAGGGCTGACCAGAGTCATGCCTTTAGCGGAAATGGCTCGAGTCCGAATCTGATGACAGAGAAACAAAACGAAACATTCAAGCCGGTTTGTCATGTCACAACACTTCCCATTTTTGTCACCGGGGGGCACTCAAATATTTTAGATTTTTTTTATTTAGGACAGTACATATAAATCAATCTGTCTGCAAACAGCGTCAAAGTAAATATGCTGGAATTAGCACAGGAGCTAAATTTCATCCAATGCCCTAAGGCAGGTGGAAACATCCAAAGACACAGAAGTAGGCAAACAAACACAGCGTAAAAATGTAATAGAAGAGAAAAGAAAGTCAACGGAAGAGTCGATCTTCATCCATGGGAGCATGACTGGTTTGATCTCAACCAATGTTTCAGAACTCCTTTAAATGATAGGAAGGTCCCACAGTTACGTATGTGTTCCGCCAAGGTGAAATTCCATGGCTCCCAGCAGAACTCTAGTCAATCTCTGAGTTAGAGCACCAACTAGTACCAGATCGGCCAGGATAGCACTATATCATATACGGAATCGGGACGGAAGCAGAAGTAAATATAACAAACTACCTATTCATGCCTAAACTTAACCAGCCATTCCCATAAAATAACCCCAACCCAGCCTTAACCCTAACCTTAACCATCTTACTCAGACACCTAAAACTTAACCAGTCACCATTTAAGGACTTATTAGTCTAAAACTAATTTGAAAGTAGGATTGGTTACTTCCAGTTTCGTCCCGATTCTGTATATGATCTAGTACCGAGCATAGGACCAGGGCAGAGGAAATACTAAAATAGTCCCTGGTCCCGGTTAAACAGGGCTGGTGGATATTCTCCCAATTGGAGTAAATTAGATTGCAGATAGTAGTAAACTATGGGGTTGTAGAAAAGTCTTGTCCCCACCACGTAAATCAGAATGTGGACTGTTTGTACACCGTCCTCACCTTCTCACTGAACACAAAGAAGGGCGAGGGGTAGGACAGGTCGTGGTTGCTGAAGGGACAGTTGACAGACGTTTTGTGAATGAGAGCGTTGCGGCCTTCCGTGGTGAGGATCTTGCGCTTCTCTTTGTGATAGCACACGTTGGGATAAGAGCCAAACGTAACCAGAGAGATGACCACGTCCAAGCTGTTGTCTGGGCCCATGGTGTTGAACGACTGCGTTAGAAGACACTCTGAAAAGGACAAATATTTTTTTTAATTCATTTATCCTTTGCTGGAACACGTACCATCCTCTCCTCTCTTCTACTTTATCTGTCAGTCTATTCCGGGATCTACAGCCTCAGTCCGGGACCTACAGCCTCAGTCCTGGACCTACACCCTCAGTCCTGGACCTACACCCTCAGTCCTGGACCTACACCCTCAGTCCTGGACCTACACCCTCAGTCCTGGACCTACAGCCTCAGTCCTCCCTGACGTTTATCACATTTTCCGCACTTTTTTGGTTTGAGTGGTTCCATGTTGATGCAGAAGAGTAAGGATCACTTGGGACATTTATACACATTTATGGACAAGGCTGTGAGCCCTGAGCGCTGCCCCCGGAGCAGTCGTGCAGTAGAACAAAGTATACAAACCTTCAGGAAAGCCAGCATTGATCAGGATGTCTTTGAGCTGCACTTTGGCCTCCCAGGTCATCCTCAGAGTGGGCATGTTGAGACGTTTGTGCTCACAGAAGCGAATCTCGGCGTCCTCTCCGTTAATCCTGTGCAATACGTCATGCAAATTACGCACTGTTTAACTTCAAGGACAGATACAATATTCTGCATATTCTCCTAAAAGAGCTTTCAGAATTTCTCTAATTAGTTCTATACCAAGGTTACTATTGTCTGGAAACTTAATTTCTCCAATGATATTATTTCAGAGAGGGCAGTGGGAAAGAACTTTAATGTAGATCGTAATGTACCACTTCTGCCGCTAGATTGCAGTGTTGCCATTGTCTATATTGTCTATATATATAGACAATGTTTATTTATTATTTGTCTATATGTTTATTCATACATTCCATACTAAATTAAACTAACTACTCCACGTTATAAACACATGAAATGCTAAATTTGCAAGACTCAAGTTTATGGACCAAAATTAAAAAAAATAACAAGGACAGAGGCATGACCAACATTGGTGTGCCCCGTCCTGCTCCACCCAGCGGCTACACCACCTGTTAGTTGAAGGTCTGAGCGTTGCTGCAGCTGTCAAAAGTCGTGCATACATTGTAAAATACAGCTGCAGAGGAGACTGAGGGGTAGGAGCTACGGGAAGACTGGGCCTCACCTGACTTCGTCCCAGGTCTGGAACACAGACAGCAGAGCCACGTGGTCGGAGAAGCGGCTTCCTGCAAAGTTTCTGTGCATGAACCCCAGACGCTTCCCTTCGTTGATGAAAGGCTCCGGGAAACAGGAGGCGGCCGAGATGGTGCACATGGCGTCTCCAACACTGCACAGAGGACACGCTCGCTCAGACAACACGTACATTCAGCTTTAGTTCCGGGGTGTCGAGCCGGTTCCAGAAAGGGCCAGTGTGGCTGCAGGTTTTAGTTCCAACCAGACTCCACCCATTTCCTCAAATCTTCAGGTAAAAAAATAATGGACACAGCTGAAGAAATGGGTGGAGTCAGGGGTGCTCCTGCAGGCCCTTTGCGGACCGGTTTGACACCCTGCTTTAGTCTATCCATGTACATTGTGAATATACAATGATCACTGGGAATATTAAGCGACCACACAGTTGCTTATGACATCGTTGAGCCAATCGGTGGAGAGGCAGCCCAGGAAATTACATGATTTTAGTGAAGAGAACATGCAGCTTTACAATCAGAAAGACTCACATTATGTCTTTTATATATACATAAAAACAAAAATGAATGTAATCCGTCAAACTAATAAAAAAATAGAAGTCCATTTCACTGCTGAATGAATAAAATGCATGCTTTTATCATTTTTGATCTTTCTCAGGCCTTTTTCTAAATGAGAAGACATTCCACAGACCATAGGTATTCATTCTAGAGTAAACTTACTGAAAGATGCAGCCGATGATCATCATTTTGCCGAGCCGGGGTTCGATGGGGAGTCGAGCCAGGATTCGGCCCAAAGGCGTGAGCTCATCGTTTAAGTCTAAGGCGTCCAGCTCTGAAACACACAGCCACACGACACATCAATCAAAGAGGAACAAGAACGGGGTTGGGATGCACCGTTCAAGCCTTTTTTGTTTACAATCTCGATATTTTGGATTCAAATCGGAATGACAGAGAATTGTGGTTAAAAGATCATTGCCTCTCACTCCACAGGAACTACTGTACATGTGTTTGGTGGTAATGGGAGTTTGTGAAAGTGAACGTAGAGGAGCTGCAGCTGTACCTCTCAGTGTGTGCTCCGCTTCGATCACGGCGTCTAAAGGCGGGGGTTCGATAGCCTTAGACAGGAAGTGCCCGATGGCTCCGAGTCGCAGCAGTTTGATGCTGAGGGCCACTTCATGCAAAGGGGTTCGGAAAATCTCTGGAGTCATGTGAGTCTCCAGCCTGAAGAGAACAAGGACTAAACATTTAAAAACAAAAACATTTGAATATCCAGGGTTCACTGTCGGATACACGAGCAAATATAAAGTTACTGCAAAAATATATAATTGAAAGTAAAAAATAAAATGTTTCCCTCCAATGTGGCCATTTTTTTCTGGTCCGAACCAAACAGACTCTGCATCTGTCGACCAGAGGATAGGAAGCAGCAGCTGTTCTACCTCTGCTGCACAGTAACTACCACCTACAATAGTCAGTAACTTTTAGGATTATGTAAATATGTGTTTGTATGGATGGATGGATGCATTTCTGCTTCTGGACACCCGAGTTTCTCCTGCAATGATTAATAAAGTATCGATCAGAAGGTCTTACCGGTCAAAGCGAGCGCGGCTGCACAGGTGGAAGCAGAAGCCGGCCCGGACTCGGCCCGCTCGCCCTTTGCGCTGCTCCAGGTTGGTCTTGGAGGCCCACACGGTAGCGTAGTTTGTCATGTTGTTGTGAGACGTAAAGAGTTTCACCTTCTGCCTGTTGGGAAGTGGAACAGGTTATAGATCCAAGTACCTTTAATTAACTAAGAAGGAACCCAAATTATGATTAGTAGAGGGTGTTTTCAGAGACTAAACATGTGAAAACAAAATCCCTCCCATCTTACCGGAGTCATACAAAATTGTCAGTATTGTTACACTGTCACATTAATGATTCCACGACAGGAACACATTCATGACCGACTTCAGCAGGGAGCGCTTTCTAACAGTAACATAAATGGGGCCTTTATAAAAACTGTCCCAGACTCAAACACACACTAACGAACACCTACTTGCAGGAGTCGATGACGTACACCACATCGTTGATGGTTATGCTGGTTTCTGCGATATTTGTGGAGAGAATCACCTGGAGGATAACGGATCAATCAGGACGGAGCTCACAGACGACAGAGTGAGATGTTGTGGTACTGCACCTTTGTGACGTTATCGGGCACCGGCTCAAACACCCGGCGCTGCTCCTCTCGGGGGACTTGAGAATGCAGAGGCAGAACGCGGTAGCGGTTACTGCCTGAAAACGAAAGGAATCAAAACATCTTTAAACTGTCAATATATCAAAGTAAAAAGTAGCAAAAGTGAAGCAGGAGACTGTGTGTGAGAGGGAGAGAGAGAGTGTAATTATACTGATATTAAATACATTTTTACCTTTTCTTCTTGTGGATTTTTACTTTTTTCACAGATATTATCTCTTTACTCAAATATATTTACACTTAACCCTCAGATAAACATAATTCGATAATATATAGCTATATTCTAGAGACGAAAATGAGAAGGGGGTGACATGGGGAGGGGGTAGGGGCCGCAAAATAAAAAACAACATGCCGTCATTGACAAGTACAATCTGTATTCTTTCTGTGTAAATGAAAAATATAAAAGTAAATACTAAGGAGTTCAAAAATGGTTTTAACTCCCACACTTTAACTGCAGCAGTACCATGAATGACCACTGGGTTGTTGGCGTGTGCGCCTTTACCAAAGTGTGGGTGCATCTCCAGGTGCCGCTGCATGGCATAGATCAGGTTCCATCCGGGGAGAAAGACCAGCACGGCTCCGGCCACCTTCAGGGTCTCCACGTAGCGCAGCAGAGCCTCCACCAGCTCGAAGGACGTCTCCTTCTCGTTGATCAGAGCCATGGAGCGCTTCGTTTCGGGGCTGTACTCGGGGCCGCAGATGACGTTACAGTTGACCTACACACACAGTCGTACGGGTCACATCGCCGTATCAAGTGTAAATTCCACTTATGTGCATTATTAAAAGACATGTGTCCACTGTCACTTTACTTTAATCACTTCCTCCCAAACCCTCATGCTGCTTGAACTCTGTATATTTTATCTACATGAATCTGACAGCAAATAAATAATACATCCATCCATAAGTAAGCCTTTATTTTCTTTACAAATATATTGTTTTTATCAAGACCAAAGAAGCCATTGCAAAGAGCTGAAGGAGCCAAACGTTGCTGTGTGGTAGGGATGAGAATAGGCACAAATTTGACGTTTCCACAGTACAGTTCAAAATTATTGCAATTCTTAACATACTGCGATACAGCAATTATTGTGATTCAACTCTGCGATGTATTGCAATTCATGTCCCAATATTGAGGAAAAAGAATTTATTTGAATCATGTAAAACAAAAGTGAAAGATAATCATGAAATAAAATATCTCAATTCTCTACTGTATCGATTCAATTGTGTGTGCAAAATATCGCTAGGAACAACCATCGACTTACATCATCCTCTCCGCCCTCTTCATCCTTGTCCTTTTTCTTGCGGTCATTTGGAGGCGGCACAAAATTTGTCATCTGAATGCAGTCTTCAAGAAAATACTCTGGACAGAAAGCACAGACGTTACAACGGGCTCCGCGGTCTCACTCCGGAGCTGAAGCCTCTGCACCGACCTTGGACCTGGAACGTGCGCCCGAACACCTCGATGACGGGGCAGTTGAAGAAGTACTCCCTGAACATGGTGGTGTCGATGGTGGCGGACATCAAGATGACGCGGACCTCGGGGTAAGCCTGGACCACGTCTCTGAGGACCACCATCAGGAAGTCCGTCTGTGGAACCAACGAGAAGTACCGGTCGTAAATTTTACACGCACAAACTTTATCCAGACCAGAAATGTCTGTTCACACCAAAACAAAACACTCCTAAACTTTATAGATTGATATTTTTAATGAGAGTTGTTATCCCATGAGCTAATGTCTGAAATCTTCCATAACGTAAATGTGTACATCTCTGGAGAGGGGATTGGAATAATATCATTCAGTCAGTCAGTCAATATTTGTATCAAGCTGGGAAAACAAAATTCAACATTTGAATATAATACGAATATAAAAAAGAAGAAGACATTATTGGAATATTAGACAGCCCTTAATAAGAGAAGCAGACGTGTTGCTAAGGCAGTTGCTAAGGCAGTTGCTAAGGCGAGATGGAGTTTCCCCCATGGAAGGCGGCCTCTGATTGGTCAATTGTTTTACAACTTCGAAAGACAATATTGAAATATGCCTGCCCCTGCCTAGACTGCTGCCACCGTGACCCGCCATCAGATAAAAAGGAAGAAAATGATAATCATAAAAATTTGAACTCCCTGTACATGCAAAAAGATGAAAAGGACATTTCCGAGAGCGCCTGTGTGATCTGGAACACTCTGGACTCACGTTTATGTCTCGCTCATGGATTTCATCAACAATCACGTGACTGATGCCTCGGATCCCAGCCTCAAGCTTTCTCAGCAGCACACCTGGAAGCAAAAGAATAACACATCATCACCTAAATATAGAAGTAATTTAGAATATATTTAAAAAAAGTTTCCTGACTAAATTAAAAGCAGTGGTTTATGGACTGGGTGTGTTCAAAACAAGAATATTCTCAGTCATTGGTCCCTCACTGATTCTCAAAATAGTTAGGAGTTTAACGGGTCAGATTTATTGTTAGTGTTTTTATGACAATCTTACCGACAGTGCAGAACATGATACTCGCATGAGGACGAGGGAGAATGGACTCGAAGCGAACGCTGTATCCACAGCTCTTTCCCAAATCCTCTGCTCGCTCACAGGCCACTCTCTCGGCCACAGACACAGCACTGATCCTGCGAGGCTGCACATAGAGCACACATTTACAGACACAGTCTACTACTGCTATTAAACCTGATTACCCACACAGATCATTAGAGTCCACTATGATCTAAAAAAGATATTTGAGGAGTGCAATTCAATAGAACATGTTTTACCTGTGTGACCACGATGTTACAGTCGGAAGCGCGGCCTGCCTTGATGAAACTGTCCAGAATGTACTGTGGGACCTGTGTGGTTTTCCCACAGCCAGTGGCTCCTCTGATAATCACCACAGAGTTGGTCTCCAGAGCGCTCATGATCTCTGACTCAAAATGCTTCACAGGGAGCTGATCACGGTCCGCCAGACTCTGTCAAAAACACATTCACACATTTTAGAAAAGACTATTTCAGACCTACTTATGATATAAAAAATATTGGAAATCTCAATATCGACCTAAACTAAAACAACAAACGTTGTAAAAATCTGATCCTCTGTATGTAGCAGACAAAACCATGTGTCATCTCAGTCTCGTACAGAGAGAAGCAAATAATGACCGAAAAGCACCCGTCTAAAAGAAATAAAACCAGAACACATTCTACTCCTCCCTCTGTTGGTAAAATGGGCTGATTGCATTATTTATCCTTAACACCTGTTCCACCATATTTTTACGGAAGATATTTCAAATTCTAAAAGCATGAAATGAGTAAATAGATAGATTTTTTTAATGGCCAAAAATGCCGTCTATAAACTAATTTTGCATGAATAGAACTCATGGAGAAATAATAAGTAGATGTTTTGAGTAAGACTTTCACACTGACCTTTTGCAGATCCGTATCTTGCTGCAGCCGCTGTGTGAGCTCATTATACAGGTCATTACTGATCTGCTCTGGAGTGCACTGCGGGACAAAAGCATTATTACAGGACTATTATGCGCATCTGTATCTAAACCGCACCAGCTACACTAAAGTAAATGGCGCACATATAGGTCTCACTGGAATACAAGCAAGTTTTCATGGTGTAGACTAAATCACGGATTATGAGGAAAGCTTTCATGTCATATGTACATTTATTTCAACATTTAAACATGCATTTTATAGCTACTAAAACTAGCTCAAGTCAAACCCAATTCTATAATCGCAGTCATATATATACAATGGCCGACACATGTGATATTGTTCCAGTCCAACTAAAAGCACGGTACGTACAAAGGCGAGCGGCCCCTCGTCGATGTTGCTGCTGGTCCATGGGTTCCAGTTGATCTGAGGCGGAGACCAGGGGACCACTCCAGCTGTGCTCTGTCTCTGAGATGGTTCAAACGCTGCCATCTTCGCCTGGAGCAGAGACACCGCCTCACCAGGGACTGAGGACTGACCACAACAATGTATTCAATGTTTGTGTTATGAAAATCTTACCAACAGCGCAGGACAGTATACTAGCAGGAAGAATGGTCAAGAATCAGAAACTTAACTCTACTTGGGCTAAAAACACACATTTCCTTCCAAACACGTAGCTACTCTGACTTGCTGCCACCGTGGTTAGTGCAAACGCAAAAATCTGGATAGTTTTTCGTTTCTCATGTTGCTAATGAATGAAAGGCTGAACAGAACTGTGGTACTTACTGGGGGTGGAATAGTGATGCTCAACTCTTGGACGACACTCGCCAACTGCTGCTCCAAATCAGGAGAAATGGTCACATCGAATGGTTCCAACTAAAAAAAGCAAAACATTTGATTAGCTTCAGAAGTCGGCCTGCTTCTGAACTGGGTGTGGCCTCTTACCGTTTCTCCCTCCTTCTTCTTCGACACTCCAGAAAAGGGTTCGATCACGTTCAGATGGTAAAGCTGTCGCACCAGGGACAGGGCACAAGACTGCGCCGCCAGCTTCTTGTTTGAGCCGTGTTCTCGAGCTGTGACCTCTTCAGGGACAAAGCGGAAGATGAGACTATTTTAGCAAGCGATTCAGCAGTTTCTTAGTTTAAAGCAGGGGTTCTCAACGAGGCAAAAACTAAAATGGCTAAAAACAGAATCTAAAATGAAAACGCTTTAGACTTCTACATCACCACTAGCAGCAAATCTCTGACAATGAGGACGCCACACAAGCAGACATTGGCCCATCTAATGTTGAGATGAATGAACCATCCTCTGCTATCAACGCTGGGTCAGTAAAAACACAGGTTTATAGCACCGATCTTTACTCGATCACGATAGCAGATAAGTTAAACAGGTTCTCGAATGAACATCAACATGAACACCAAGACGTCGTGGTACTAACTCCTCAGTTGTGCATCGGAAAACACAACTTAAAGCACAATGCGTTGATTGCGAAGGGTGAGTAGGTCGCCTGACACAATTCATTACGGCAGCAGGAAAAGTCTGAGACCGAGGGCACGCCACACACACACACACACACACAGAACCCTCTCGCAATTTAATTCAAGAGAAGCCGATCAACTCTGCAAAAGAGTCCTCAAAAGAGCAAGCCGAAAAGTTCCCACAAGCTATGGTCAAATTAGACAGTACTAAACGAGGGGTTTGGAAATGAGTTTTGTGTGTTTGGACGAGTTGTGCCACAAAGTCATATTAGCAGCTAAAAACACCAGTAGGTTTATTTCTATTGAAGGGACAATGTTGTGACATAACTAAAAGCCCAAATGAGTTTTGCAAAAACCACTGTATACCCTTTAATCATTGTCTGGATTGCTAAAAAAAAATAAACTTTATAAACAATTATTGATTTGATTTTGAAAAGCAGAGGCATAAAGTATTGTGTGTGTGAATATACTTACTTCTGCCAAGCTGCCTCACAAACAGCTGCATCTCAGCAATGAAGCTCCTGTAAGTACAGACACTCGTCATTCCTGCGGTGAGCCACTGGAGGGCGGTGCTGAGGTCTTTTAAAGCAGTTTTAGCCAGTGCAAGCAAAGTTAACAATATATCAGACTGAATAATCAAACTAACACAGTTCTAAATCAACACTGAACACTTAGGAGTCAAATACAGTCAGTCTACTGTGTTGTTGGTAGGGGAAACCACCATTCACCATGTCGGCGGGTCAACGTTTCAATGGTATACGTAAGGGGTGTCAAACCGGTTCCAGAAAGGGACCGTCCCTTTGGCTGCAGGTTTTAGCTCCAACCTGAGCCATTCACCCTTCTCCTCAGGAGAGTCCAGTTTTAACCTGAAGATTTGAGGAAATGGGTGGAGTCTGGTGTCACTCCTGCTGTAAAACTTAGAACCGGAGTGGCACCCCTGCTATAAATGGATGAAAGTTAGCATCTCTGAGTCAAACAATACAAAAGATGCCATTTCCAGGGGATATAAAAGATGTGTAGCTCATACAGAAAAGGCAAGTTAACGTTAAGAGTTCTTCTGCCTATGGGTTTTGTTGAACCACAAGTCCAAGGTTTAGTAGATTTACAGTAAGTAAGTGTTGTAGAAATGGCTCCAAATGTTCTATAACACCAAAGACTTCATCCATCTCGCAGTGAAGGTTTCCATTTCCAGACAAAATAATAGCACGTCCAATGAGAATAGAAGGAGGCCCTCCCACCCAAGACAACACCGAACATAGTACAATACCTTCCTACTTGAAGAATACAAATTGGTTATAGCTAAATGTTTAAAGATACTAGATATATTTTAAACAAACTTCTGTGTCCCCAGAGAGAAGGTCAACGGATCCAATCACAAATGTGACTGGATAACATGTTTTTCAAATGGAAGCAACTATACATCTTACTGAGTGTACTTCAGGAATAGAAATAAGATTGTATTGTGATATTCGGGCCTATACTCAAATCATCTCCAAGTTTAAAAGTGGGGAGAAAACAATGATTGCAGCTTCCACAGAAAATATTAGTTATCCAAACAATAACTAGTAAGTAAACTATAGAGCTATAAATAATGCAGATGATTAGGAACATGCCACACCACACAATATATAAAGGATTATTGAACTTTCCATCCATCCATTTTCTTCCCCTTAATCCATTTCTGGATCACGGGGTGGCAGTCAGAGCTGCACCCAGTACACTTAGCACCAGCCCCTCACTGATCCTCCTGCAGGTGATGAGTCCACAGGAGCTGAGATCTTTCAGTGGGAGCTTCAGGCAAAGTAGGGTTAAGTGTCTTGCCCAAGGACACAACGACAGCAGTCATCAGTGGGAGTCGTGAAGTAGGTCTTACGGTGGGCTAGAAACCCACGACCTTCAGGCTCAAAGGCCAATGCTCTACCAACTGAGCCACTGTCGCCCTCGATTACTGAATTACTTCCAGCTAAAGGCAAGCGACTGTTGTCATATATATTCATGCACCATTGACAATTTTCATTTGTCCAACTATTTTTTCCTGCATTTGTTTATAGAATTGTGTAAGGATCGTGTGGCAAGTATAATCCCCACTTGTGCCCGACACTGACCGCAGGAGGATCTAGGATATTGCTGACATCATCGCTTCAGATGGTAAAGTAATTTGAAAATTAAGCGTTATATGTTACCGTTTTGCAGGAAGAGCAGCTTAGAATAGCATGATTTAGAGATGCACAAGCTTTGAGACAGATTCTGATTGATCAGAGTGGGTATGTTCCACCATTGTGTGTTTTTGGCTGCTTTGTTTAGAGAATATATCAAACGATTCCATACGTTAATACACAAGATGGACAAATATACTAGAAAGTGAAATAAATATATAGAATTCAAAAGCATGGGTGTCAAAGTCAAGGCCCGGGTGCCAGATCCGTCCCGCAAGAACATTTTTTTGTGGCCCCTAAAATTTTTTTTTATTATTATTAACTGGCAGCATTGATGGTAATGGGTGACCAAGGCAGGTTATATACATAATCTATTTACTCAAGAAAACAACCAAATTTAATTCATTCTAACATTTTAACCCATTAACACATCATTAGAAGTTAAATAGTTTGATATAAAATGTTTTTACTTTATATTTGATTCAGTTTTAGTTTAAAACAACAAAATTGTTTTTAAAAAAAAAAGGAAAAAAAAGTAACAGCGTAACTCATGTCACAATAAAGTTATGTATTTTAGTGTTAAAATACCTTCATAATGTAAAAAACTATGATAAGAAGAAAGACCAGTTCCTATTTTTTTTTAATCGGCCCCTGACCAAAATGAGTTTGACACCCCTGCTCTAAAGCAATCATTCAAACACAGAAACATGCCTGAATCAAGTCAACAGGGTCACAAAGGTCCCTCAGTCATTACAGTCCCTGAAAGAGCTTGGTCGCTTAAGGGTTAGAATGTGATGGTGAGATTGTCCCTGGTGCGTCACTCACCTGTCGTGTGCAGGTGTGTTTTTCTGCCAGACTTGGGTTTTAAAAAGACACAGCGTGGCCCCTGTGAGGACAATGACAGCAGAATGACTTTTGGATTGGCACAGGCCCAGATTGGCCATGGAGCAGCTTTAGAGTCGCCTAAACGCTGTCCCATGTCTGTTCTGAGGAGGACAAACTTCTGCTGTCACTGCCCTGCACACCACGTCGTACAGCGAGCGGACAGACACACACAGATTTGGATTTCAGTGACTCAGGGCCTCAGTGAGCCGCTGCTTTTAGGTTGTTTTGGTCATCGGCAATGTAATCCTCATTCGTCCAAGAGAGCCTGGTAGATAAGCGTCTTGTGAGCATGAAAACAATGGGCTCCTAAATGACTATCCCAGCTCTACAGCATCGAAGAAATATGTAAGATTTTTGGTTTTCAGAAAATATTCTTTGGCCTTACATGTTATAGAATGTACAATTATTCCTTAAGCAGAAATAATGGACATAAAATGAATGTTTTTGATTTTCAAATGTACTTGACTTGTAAAAGGAGAGCCAACATCAACAGCTACTCATCAAAAGAGGGTTATAGGCCCTAGTATGTATCAAAAAGCAGGTTAGAGGCCGTTGAGTAAGAAGTATCTGAGGATTTGAATGCCTTTTGTTAAGGTAATGTTTCTTCTCTTGTTTTGTATGAACTGTGCTATACAAATAAACTGTCCTTGCCTAGAAACATATTCAAAGCAGTCGCCTGGAACAAGTTTTCAGCTGTCTCTGCTGAGAACGAGTCCAGGTCGCAACGGTTGAAAACCATGAATCGGTCCTGGACAAATGAGGGATCGCACTGCACACATTGGTACTTCTCAGCAGTCAGGCAGAAAAACACACCAGACGGAAAACAAGCCCAGGCGCCGGGTTCTCAGATCCACACACACAGTTCATCAACTCCTGCATGTGTGAAAAGGTAAATGAAGGCCTCACCCCAGTTTACACCAAGTATTAAGCACAGAGACAAACTCGCGGGTTATATGGAATGGCTTTTTGTTGGAATGAGCCGGACCATTTGCGGCGGTGAATTAACGCAGCTAAGAATGGGTTGCATTTCTTTTTTCTTTTCTATTTCACTTATCCTGCTTCACCGCTGCAGAGGAAACTGGAAGGTCTGTAGGTGGCATAGGTCTCGGACATGGATTATCTGGGGGCCGCACAGGCTCGATTCCGGAAGAGGCATGGCCTCATTAAAAGGGGGATTATTATCACGAGTTTTGTGTGTGTGAAAACATTTCAAGCGTTTGTGACATCATGCATGACTCTATAAATCATTAAAGTATTTTGAAATAACAATTACTTTTTATTGTATAAGACAGTGGTTCCCAAAAAGGGGGTCACGGGATGATATCCGGGGAAAATATATATATATATATATATAACCCTTAAATATTTATTTCGCATTCGATTTGATTCAAAATGTCTTCTTGTTAAATTGTGTTTGGAGAAGAGCCTGAAAAAAATATAATATACTTAAATACGTTTGTAATTTTGTCCCAGTCATTGACAGCGTCAATCAAAATAAAGTTATGCAGCGACAAAGCGTGTCCTGCTGTTTGCTAAAGCTAAAGGTGTTTGGAGGCTACAAACAATCCTGCTTTAAAATGAAACGTGGTTAATATCCACAACAGAACAACCCGGAGGGTGATAAAAGTCACATGTGCCAGAGGTCAGGTTGATGGTGCAAAGACTGCGGAGGGAGAGAGGGCAGCGGAGAACACTGTAAAGAGACTTTTCAGAGTCAGTGGTAAAGAGGTCCACGGTAACGTTGGAAAGAGAAGCTACAGGAACGAGCCGCCACAATGCACTTTTTACTGTAAGTAACAACCCGCTTTTAATGTGCGAACCTCTTCACTGCGGACTCTGAAAAGCCGTGTCTCTTTACCGCGGTCGGAGAACAGTTAGGGCGAGCCGTAAGAAATGCCCTCCACATCTACTAAGGGGAGAGCCCACCAAGCCCATCACTTACGTCACTACACAAGTAAAAATATGCAAGGCTCTTATTTCGGGCTGGCGAGTGCAGCTCGGTAGCGGCGCAAGTCTATAAATCATTACTCCGAATCAAGGAAATACGTGCTCATTTCATGTTACGGGGAGGGCTGATGAGGTGGGGGTTGCGGGGCAGCAGCGCATTTATCATGAGGGTCGCGGGCTAAAAACATTGGGAACCCCTGGTATAAGAGGATAGATATAATTGCATATATTGTGGAGCGACCTGCATGTGACAACCAGATCCTGTCAGACCTCTGGAGCTAAGCACGGTAGGGCCTGATTAGTACTGTGAAGGGAACACAGTGGGGCGGCTGCAGCTGTAAAGTGACAAGCAGCGGTTGTGTCCTAAAGGCAAGACACTTCATCCACAAAATAAAATGTATTAGAATGAGTCTGGTGTGTGTGAATGGTTGGTGGTGGTGGGAGGGGCCTCGCTTCTGTCAGTGTGCCCCAGGACAGCTGTGGCAACAGTAGCATTTTATCACCACTGTATTTTTGAGTGTCTAAAATAGCACTGTATAAAACAAATGCATTATTTATTTGTATGACTGTTTATGTGAACAAATGGAGTGCAGCCGCTTGGATTGAAACCAAACTGGACCACAGACCTGAAGGCTGAGTATTGTGAGGCACCTCTGAGGTAAATTGAACGTTTTCTACGCGTCTACCGTCTATGCGTCGCTTGGTGTAAATCGGGGTCGCACAGAACTAAACTTGGACATGGTCTTGAAAAGATCCAGACCTGTTATGATCCGGCCCCACTTGGCTGTACTTGTACTCGGCACTCATTTTTTCCTTTTGGAAATACTGGTTGAGCCGAGCTTTGGCGTTCTCGAGGGTCCAGTTTCCATGGAGATTTGCATTCAGGTCGACCTCCTCCGACTCTAGGGTCTAACAGAAAAACCAAACAATGAGCAATCATTCTGTGTTTTTGGAGCATGCTTCGTCCGGAATAGAAAAACAGTTGGTTACCGCCTGGGCATCTTGCTCGTCTCTGCGGGCGTAGTACTCCTTCAGGTTGGCTCCGGCCTCCCACTGGGCACCCCCACCTCCGTCTCCATACCCAGGACTGGAAAGATTATTTGCAAATAAATCATTATTTTAAGTAATCATTAACACAGACTCAAAGACAATAAGGTTCTTAAAGAGGTGATTTGAATGTGATCACATTTAATACTTGTTGGAATGAATAAGCAATGATTTATATATTTCTGGGTTACAACCTACCCAGGACCAAATCCCTGGTCTCCCCTGGCAGCAGAATAGCCCAGTCCTGTGACCCCCGGGATGGGCATACTTCCACCAGGCTCCACTGGAAAACACACAAAGTTTGAAGAAAATCTGATCCAGGAGGCTTAACCAACGACCAGATGAAAAGAGTTAAATACAATGACAAATATTGATTGGACTGTACATGTTAGCAGCATGTGACACTACTGTACATGTTAGCAGCATGTGACACTACTGTACATGCTAGCAGCATGTGACACTACTGTACATGCTAGCAGCATGTGACACTACTGTACATGCTAGCAGCATGTGACACTACTGTACATGCTAGCAGCATGTGACACTACTGTACATGCTAGCAGCATGTGACACTACTGTACATGTTAGCAGCATGTGACACTATTGTACATGTTAGCAGCATGAGGGTATGGGCTAAAAGTGACAGTGCACACATTACACATTTTAACATTCATTCAAACTATTGCGCAGATGCATGCCATGTGGATAGATGCACATTTTCAGTGTATTATTGTCTTTTACCTTGTGATGATGCGTGGTCACCTTGTTCAGCTTTCACCACCAGGTGGGGGGGCAGGGGGCCACTGGAGGGTAGGGTTCCAAAGCCATCGCCCGAACCAGCTCCAGCGCCATCAGTCTGAGCCAACTCCGGAACCGCCATCTCCAATCAAAGTAAGTCAGTAAGTATTGTATATTTATATACACAAACCAGGTAGCAACACAACACGTGCTCATTCATTCGTCATGAGTCACTAGACCTGTGCGCATGAGTACTATTGTCCGCAGATAATAATCCTGACCCAACGTTTTATGTTCATTTCATAAATTCATTGTTTTTTGAGTAAACATCTTTAGTCAATACATATTAATTTTGGTATTTATTAATACAGTTAAGTAAATAAGTGAGTAATCTTTATGTATATACCGCCTTTCACAGACCAGAGACACAAAGCGGTTTACAACTGTGGACATTTGTCGCTCACTCCACAGAGATGGGAGCGGGGCCAGTACAGGAGGCGCATGCCAGACCTATTGTACATGTATTTAGTGGTAGGGGAAACCGGACCACCCGGAGGAAACCTACGCAGACACGAGCAGAACATGCAAAATCCACTCAGAAAGGCCCTGTTCCGACCGCGATTTGAGGACCTTCTAGCTGAGAAGCGAGAATGCTATCCACTCACCCAAGTTGTGCAATTTAAGATTTTCCCAGGGCCGTTTATTTGGTGAATTATATCGTTATAGTGATATTTCCTTCTCATGATGTAATATTGTAATATTTTGATCTTCAATTAAACAGTGATTTTATTTGAACTTGTGTTTGATAGAGAAATGTCATATTTAGTTGTTCTAATTGAGCTCATTCATATAACTGAGCCAAGGATACCAGGAATTGTGGCCCAGTTTCTTTACCGAAGGAAAAGGTAAGCCACGGCGGCAACTCACCCCTGCGGCTGGGACTTCAGCAGCATTCATCTCTCCCATCCGGACCAGGTAATTCACAAAGTCTCTGGCTGCATTGGACTGAGCATCTTTCTTATTAGTGGAGTTCCCCATTCCTGTGTAGTTATAGCCATCCACACGCACCTGGAAGAAAGCAGTCCATTACATCACTGACCCACATGCAGAGAGAGAGTGCAGAAGCGAAGCATACCTCGCACACAAACTTCTGCCTGTTCTTGTTGCCAGCAGTCCTGATGTCATAGCTGGGGGTCTTTTTCTTCTTCCCACACCAGGCATAGAGGAAGTTCTTAATGTCGGCCATTGCGAACTGAAACAATAACATTCATTACTTAAAGATTTAATATTGAAATGTGTATGGTTCTTTTAGAATCAGAATCATTTTTATTGCCACGTAAGTAACAGGAGGTCACAGACTAGGAAATTGCTTGGGCTCAGTGCAACAGTCAAAAAGAGATAATAAAAATAAGAATAAAAAACACTTTTTATTCTTTTTTATACAGCAGAGGGGAAGAAACTGTTCTTGTGGCGGGAGGTTCTAGTCCTGATGGACCGCAGCCTCCTGCCTGAGGGGAGTGGTTGGAATAGTCCATGTGCAGGGTGAGAGGGGTCGGCTGTGATACGACCAGCCCGGCCTCGAGCTCGGGCGACGTACAGGTCCTGCAGCGATGGAAGGCTGCGGCCGATCACTTCCTCTGCAGAGCGCACAATGCGCTGTAGTCTCTGTTTGTCCCTGACTGTGGCTCCGGCGAACCACACGGTGACGGAGGAGGTGAGGATGGACTCGATGATGGCCGTGTAGAACTGCACCAACATCTGTGCAGGCAGCTTGGCTTTCCTGAGCTGCCGCAGGAAGTACATCCTCTGCTGGGCCTTCTTGATGAGGGAGCTGATGGTCGGCTCCCACTTGAGGTCCTGGTGATGGTGGTGCCCAGGAAACGATAGGACTCCACAGAGGTGATGGGGGAGTCCATCACGGAGGGTGGGGGTGGGGGGACAGTGCTCTTCCTGAAGTCCACAATCATCTCCACTGTCTTCTGGGCGTTCAGCTCCAGGTTGTTACCACTGCACCAGGACACCAGCCGGTCCACCTCCCTCCTGTAGGCGGACTCATTGTTGTTGGAGACGAGTCCAATGAGGGTGGTGTCGTCCGCGAACTTGATCAGCTTCACGGAGTCGTGGCTGGAGGTGCAGTGGTTGGTGTACAGGGAGAAGAGCAGGGGAGAAAGAACACAGCCCTGTGGGGCTCCTGTATTTATAATCCGAGAGTCCGAGACATTCTTCCCCAGACGCACTCGCTGCTTCCTGTCCGTCAGGAAGTCAGTGATCCACCTGCAGGTGGAATCGGGCACGTTGAGCTGGGAGAGCTTGTCCTGGAGCAGGGATGGCAGGATCGTGTTGAAGGCAGAGCTGAAGTCCACGAACAGGACCCTGGCGTAGGTCCCCGGGGAGTCCAGGTGCTGTAGGATGTGGTGGAGGGCCAGGTTAATGGCGTCGTCTACAGATCTGTTGGCTCTGTAGGCGAACTGCAGGGGGTCCAGGAGGGGGGAGGTGAGGGACTTGAGATGGGAGAGAACCAGGCGTTCAAATGACTTCATGACGACAGACGTAAGTGCTACAGGTCTGTAGTCATTGAGTCCTGTGATCCTGGGCTTCTTCGGGACGGGGACAATGATGGAGGATTTGAAGCAGGCCGGGACATGGCAGGACTGCAGAGAGGAGTTGAAAATGTCCGTGAACACAGGAGTAAGCTCACTGGCGCAGTGTCTCAGAGTGGACGGAGACACGTGGTCCGGGCCAGGAGCTTTGCGGGGGTGCAGCCTCAGGAAGAGTTGTTTAATCTCTTTAGCGGCTATTGTTAGGCTGGGGGCAGGGCTGATGGGTGGGTCGTTAGAGTAGTGGGGGGTGGGGGAGGGAGAGGTGTCAGGGGCAGCATCAAAGCGACTGAAAAATAAGTTCAGATCGTCAGCTAGCTTGTGGTCGTCAGCACAGGGGGGGGCTTTGGGTTTGTAGTTGGTGATCTCCCGTAGGCCCCTCCAGACAGAAGCAGTATCGTTGTTACCAAACTGCTCCTGTAGTCGTTCTCTGTGCCAGGACTTGGCTGCTTTCAGTTCTCTCCTGAACTGATATTTAGCTGCTTTGTAGCCGCTGCAGTCCCCCTCCCTGAAAGCAGACTCCTTTGCTTTCCTGAGCTGCCGGAGTTTAGCAGTGAACCAGGGTTTGTCGTTGTTATAGATGACCCTGGTCCTTGTTGGAATGATGCTATCCTCACAGAAGTGAATGTATGACGTCACAGTGTCCGTGTATTCATCCAAACTATCTGTGACAGCTCTGAAAAGGTCCCCAGTCTGTAGATTCCATGCATGCGCGCAGCTCTTCCACAGCTTCATCAGACCACACTTTGGAGCTCCTCACTGCAGGTTTCGAGAGCTTTAGTCTCTGTCTGTAAGCAGGAACCAGATGTATCATGGAGTGATCTGAGAAGCCGAGGGCTGGCTTGGGAACAGCGCGAAAAGCTCCGCGCACGGTGGTGTAACAGTGATCCAGAGTGTTCTCCTCTCTGGTCGGGCATTTGATAAACTGTCTGTATTTGGGTAATTCCTGGCTCAAGTTTCCCTTATTAAAATCCCCCAGGATAATAATCAGAGAGTCCGGGTATAAGCGTTCCATACACAGTACTTGCTCTGCGAGTGCGCGCTGAGCCTCGCGCGCGTCCGCGCATGGCGGTATGTAAACAGAGGCAAGAATGAACGAAACAATTTCGCGCGGGGAGTAATATGGTTTACAATGAATGAAAAGATATTCCAGAGCAGGAGAGCAGTGCTTGGAGATCACTGTCACATCGTTACACCAGTTTGTATTGACGTAGAAACACAGCCCACCGCCTCTGCTCTTCCCTGAGAGCGCACAATGGCGATCCGCGCGGAACAGCCCAAAGCCCTGCAGCTCCAGAGCGCCAGGTCATTTAGCCAGGTCTCAGTGAAGCAGAGGACACAGGATGTGGCGAAGTCCTTGTTTCTTCTCATGAGCAGGCTGAGTTCATCCATCTTATTGCCCAGTGAGCGTACGTTGGAGAGAAAAATGCCGGGGAGAGCCGTGCGCGCTCCTCTCCTCCTAAGACGCACGAGCAGGCCTCCGCGCTTTCCCCTTTTACGGGCCCACACTTTTTTGGCTAGAACATGAACTAAATCAGCCGCAGATGCCAAGAAAACAGGCAATAGGTCCATGGGAACGGTGGGTCGGATGTTCATAAGTTCCTCACGGGTGTAGGAACAGCCAGATGCGCAGTTAAAAAGTAAAAACAAAAGAAAAAGAGAGCAGCAAAGAGCCATGTCGACCGTACGAGGCGCCATCTTTGTATGTAATGAGTTGAATGAATTGAATGAATTGAATTAGCAGGACTGAAGACTGAAAGAATTAAAATCCATATTGACCATCAGGAACGGTTAGACACAGACGACATTCCCCCTGAGCCAAAACCATGCGTCGCCTTGTCCAAAGCAAAGACTCTAAATATTACATACACACTGAGCAACACAGGCCGGCGTGCCAGAGCAACTATCCTTTTTACCCATCTCACACGATAGTATTATTGTCATAAGGTGAACACAACAAATTACGACGACACTGTAATTTAGACAGCAGAACCAAACTGCCCGTTATGACTGACGGATGGGATCAACCATTTAGAGCAGGCATGTCCAAAGTCAGACCCACGGGCCAATTGCGGCCCTCTGTGCCGTTTAATGTGGCCCTTTGTTGCTAACTGAAAGTGGCCATTGAGGCCCTTTGACAGTGTCATCCAACCAACTTCAGCCCCACCAATACAGTCCTATATCTTGTGTACCTCAGACCCTCTGAAATTTATTTTGTTTTATACTGACATTTGTTTGTGATTGTGGCACAACATTCCACATAATGCAGCTGTGGTGTGAATCAATAAGGACAAATCATAAACCAATGTAATTCCCAGAATCCAGTTTTCTTAAATCCAGGTTTATCTACCCCAGGTCAAGTCTGATGAACTAAAGTGGCCCTCTTACTAAAAAGTTTGGACACCCTGGAGATAGAGATATGACTCAGGATTGGCAGCCACACACAAGGAAGGAAGACCAATATGTCTAGTATATATTCCAATATATTCAAAAGAGTAACTGTGCACAGCCTCACTTCCTGGCTCAACTTCTGCATCTGGGGTGTCTGTAACTCTTACATAAGTTTTCATTTGAACTAGAACAGTCTACCAATAGTTACATATATAATTATGAGCCGAGAGATTTTTCTTATTTTTTTTTTTAGAATCTATTTTTTGGCACACCCCTACCATTTCAAAAGAACCAAATAAAGACAAAATGAACCTTTTTGATGAAACACCCCTAACATTACTCTACACACATAGCCCTTTTCATGCAATTCGTTTTAAACATTTCAATGAATGCCACTTTAGTTTCCCAGACTTGTCCGGGGGCAGAAAACAAAGGGGTTATTATATAAACTATAAACTTGTCTGGATGACACTGAGGATGTATGTTTAAGATTGCAATGGCTAATTTAGTGACTGCAAAGCGGGGGGGTAAGGAACTGTATTAACTTCTTATTTATTACTTCTCTTGCTACATTTGATGTCGAATTTTGTACGTTTAAAAACAAAAACAACTACTACTACAACAACAAAAACAATAAACGTTGGGTCTCCCCAAGGTTTCTCACTTTTTCCCACTGGGTTTTTTAAGAGTTTTTCCTTGTCGATGCAGGAGGGTCTTGTTGGACAGTTAGTGTCCAACAGAAAGGATTGGTGATGATCAGGACACTTTAGCATTCTACAACATGTATGGACATGTTCTTCTGTGTGTGCTTTATATTCTTCATGTGTTAACTGTTGATTCTCTGACCTGTGTTGGTGATTTCAATGGTTTTGTTAAGTCTCTGAGATGACTTCTGTTGTGACCTAGGGCTATACAAGAATAAATTGTATTGTATTGTATTGTGTTGTTCGGTTGTTGTGCTAACCATAGACTGTATGTGCTAACTATAATAGATCCATGGTGCTAACAGTCTATGGTGCTAACATCAGAGCGATGCTAAGCTAACCAATGTAACCTAAGCTAACGCTGTGTGCTCGCTCTATAACTCCTTCTGCAGAACTAGATCATTCTGGTTCTGACTCCTGTGTGTCGTGTCCGTGTGCGATGTGGTGCTGCAGTGTGGGCAGGACTGAGGCTTACTTACTGAATGGTTTGTTTGAATGGATCTGCAGCTTCCCAACAACCTGCGAAATGAAACTTGGAGCTCACCAGAGGATCCGGTTGTGTGCTTCATAGCGCCACCTGCCGCGTTGGAGTAAATACACTCTCACCATGGATCTATAATAATAATCTATCACGCTGAACTCTGTCACTGTTAATATAACTGTGTAACTAACTAACTCCAGTCAGTAGGAAATTCATGTATGTATTTTTTCACTGTTTTAACATTCGGACTCCCAGAAAAATGAAACGTAATTTTGCCTGCTCCCATTCAAAATTGTATGCATATTTACACTGTAAATATTGGTAAAACACTTTGAATTCCTCAAAAAAGTGTAGTTTTACAATAGATGTATTGCAAATAAGTAATGTAATAAGTTAATTAATTAATTTCAAAGGTGTATAGGAGGATTTTCTATTTCCAGGTGGACCATCAATCAGAATCAGAATCATTTTTATTGCCACATAAGTAACAGGAAGTCACAGACTTGGAAATTGCTTTGACTCAGTGCAACAGAATAGAGAATAGAGTAAGGCGTCAAGATTATTGGTCCTCCCAATTGTCAATCATTGTGGTGATACATGCTCGTCAAACAAGACCAGAGTTTTTTCAATAAGTGGATAATCCTCCTATAAACCTCTAAGTAATTTTCCCTAATTCAATTTTGTGTGCTAAAAAAGGTTAATACATCTTTAAAAAAGGCAATGAAAAGCTAAGTCCAAAGACCAAATTCTTACTGCTGCAAGTGAACAGTTGTCGCTATGGTGATGAACTCTTCTCTGGTGGAAAACTAAGCTGATGTGGCGCAGAACCGGGACGAGTCCAGAACAAAAGGTCCATAATTATACTTAATAACACATAAAGTGTTGATAGATCATGACCCTCCATCCATAGATCTATTGCTGTAATACTGAAGGTTGGTTCATTGTTGATCAAAATAAAATAAACATAATATAATTTTGAACTATTTGTATCTGAACATGTATTTTGTAAAAGTGAAAAAAATTGACCAAAGCATGCTGAATTTGTGCTATTATAAACATCATAATTAAATCCAAAAACAAGTACACTGTTAAAATTTAATGTCTGACAGTGACAGTGGCACAGATTAGGTAAAATACATAGTCCAGTACATCAAAATATCAATTGCATATATAATCATGTGCACATTCATAAAATGACATCATACAATAGAGGTTATTGTGTATTCCTTGCAAAACAAGCTGCTTTGAAATTAAACCGGAAATAAATATGTTTAAAATAAGTAATACTTCATAATTTTGCAGTCATTTTACATGAGTCTAATAATACAGCTGTTCCTAAAGTCTGGAGCACCACACTTGGTAGATTCCTCCACTTGATCTGGATGGCCTCTCTGATCCATGCGTATTTGCCCTGTGCCTCTAACACAGATCGGACTGAGCCTGGGAAGACTCTTGCTTGACTTGTGAGAGGTGTTAGCCAGGCACAGTCTGACTTGTAACCAAGGCCAAATTGACGGAAATTACACATATTTGTCCAAACAGGATTTATTAGGACTTTTATTGTGTTGTTCTGGAGATAGAAATAAAGCAATGTGAAAACATTTATATAGCACTTTTTTGGGCCCAAAATCAGGTGATTACAGAGGAATCAATCAACTAATGTTATCGATCATGGAGGCCTTCCAGATTAAAAGGCAGATCACCACATGGTAAACCGAGCTGAGAGGGCGTGCCAACAGCCCACATGAACTCGAATAATCTGCTACTAAATTTATTTTATATCCTTTTTATCCTTTTTCTGTATTACATAAATATACATTATTTACATTTTATAATCAATATGGATATTTTACAATCAGTATGTCATAATTCTGACCAAAGAAGTGTACATTTCAATTCAATCTCAATTGCTTAATGTGTGGAGAACCTTTAGAGGCCCCACTGCAGAGTCTCTGAGGCACTTTGGGAAACACTGCTCTAATTGACACTGTATCACAATCAAATACTTGTAACTGATCAATCAGAGCTGTAGGCTGCCCAAAGTTTCTTCTAATTCTATGCCTTTCTTCATATTTATGCATCTTTACAAGCATGTAGCATTTCAAAAAAACATTAACGTTAAACAACAATCTCAGTCGGAACGTTTTGAAAACTTCAACTACATTTCATTGGTTGATTATATGAACAGCATGTGCCCCTCAAATACTTCAGTCAAGGCACAAAGGTTTGTCTGTGCCACTGCAGTTATATTCCTGACGCCTGACATCGACCACAGAAGCTGGTCCACTGTTGCAGTTGCAGAAACAACTTAAATTTGATTTAAATTTGATCCATGCTCAAAGTCAAAAACATCTGTGATATTCGGCCATGTGCCGTCTACAGAGGTAATAATAATGACGATACTGCCTTGCACTTGTGAGGCACTTCACAGGCTTGTAAAGCATTTGAAAGGCTATCCTTCAGTCCGGAATTTCACTCATAAGCGGAGCTGTTCCTAAGAGGAGCAGCATAAAATGACACATAAAACCAAAAGAATACATTGGAATGTTACAAAAGTGCCAAAGACACAGCTGTGAAAGCCTGAGTAATATGGAATGTCCTTATAGACGGGGATTTGTGGGTTCCCTTTACTCCAGCTTTTTGTTGCGTCCCTTGAAGTGGTCCATCATGGTGAAGGCCCCGAGGTACTCCCCCAGCAGGAGCCCTTGTTTTGTGGAGAGGATGCTGTGGAGACAAGAGCAGGCTCAGGGCGAAGGCGACACACACACTCACACTGTGTGGTGTGTCACTGCAGGCTACACACTAATGTTTTCAGCTGCAATAGAGACCTGGTCTCAGGTTTCTGCACAAGCTTCCTGTGGCTCAGAAAATAGACTTTAAAGCAGCTCTGCTTGTGTAAACCTCAGATCCAATCGATTCAATCTGCAAAAGGAGTTAACCCCTCCTATCTGTAAAAGGAGCTCAGTGGAGCGCCTCCAGACCTTAGTACGAAATGTAATATGTACTATGGTGAGGTACGACCAGGCTAGCTTCTACTCTGACAATGTTGAAATCCAGGTTAAAAACAAGTAGCTGTGCTACTGAGGGATTGTATCTTCACTCTTTCTAATGTATGGTGATTATTTATGATTTTAACGCCTTTGTGATTTCAATAGCGTCTCTTCTTGTTTTGTTAAGCCCTTTGAGTTGCTGCGTGTATGAACTGTATTATACAAATAAACTTGCCTTGTCACTCAAAACTACACACAGACAAGAGATTCCTTCAAGAGGAGATCACAGTGAGATGCGAGCCTCACCTCTTGAGTCCAGCGATGAGGTACATGCTGCGTGGCAAGAGCAGGTACACCTGGTCTGTGAGAACAGCCTCCAGGATCTTTCTCACCGCATACTCTGGATCCAGGATGGGCATGATACGAGGCCACCTGCAACAGGCAATACAGGGATGAGGGACGGACACACACACACACACACACAGACACACTTGTCCAAATGTAGACATGTTTAAGCTCCGAGCAGTGATACCCTATACATTTAGTGTGTGCCTTATACTATTTGTGCTTTAAGAGCACTCAAGAAACAGCGGTGCTTTAAAGTCCTCGCCCTGCCTGTATGGAGCGGCATTTGTTGATGCGCACAGATTCAGGTCAGTATCATACACACACACAGACACACACACGTACACACATACTCTCATACCCAGAGAGTACTGGGCTGTTTGTAGTCAAAACACAGCGTGGTGGGAGCGGTCACACCAAACAAACCACCACTGATCTGGCCTCAGTGGAAATTTTGTTTTAGCCTAGTACACAACCACATTATCAGACATATTTAGGACATTGAGTTAAACCCTTTAGACTTTAGTGTATCTTTTGGAGTTCAAAGCATGTATTTGTAGTTTAGTCTGAAGATTGCTTTCCCACACACTGCAGAAATGGGAGGTGTCGTGTTTAGACATAAGGATCCATGCAACCACAGTTGCTCCACAATAAAGCACACTTGCTAGTATAAACACCGCAGGAGGGTCACTTACTTGGTCTGACAGCCGTCAAACATGCCGGTGTTGATAAAATAGGGACAAACGATGGTGGTTTTGACGCCGCTTTTCCCTATGGCGAGCATTTCCAGTCCAATGGATTCTGCAAATCCGACAGCTGCAAATTTACTGGCACAATAGTCTGAAAGAAGAACATTAAGTATTAAGACCCTCACAATGACCACTGACAGAATACAGAGCACTTTTAGAGCCGTTGTTTTTCAAGTTCCTGCACCATAATTAAAGCGAAAAACATCGGTATACAAATAGGACTTCATTTTTCAAATGACCAAGTATGGGTGTATGTCAGGGTTTTCCAAACACTGGAGTAAGAAGGTTAGCTCAACATAAGTGTCCAGGGGCACATCTGTACATGTTAGCAGCAGAAGGTCTGGGACAAGTAAAGTGTTAAAAAATGTGGTTCTATATTGTAGAGTCAGCTCTGGCCCTTCTTGAGTAAGTAAGTCAGTAAGAAACATTTATTTATATAGCGCCTTTCACAGACCAGTCACAAAGCACTTGTGGGCATTTGTCTCTCAGTCCACACAGAGATGGGAGCGGGGTCGCCTGTACACAGGAGGCACATGCCAGACCTATTGTACATGTTTTTAGTAGTAGGGGAAACCATATGTAACATATCTACGATGGCAGAGCTGAAGTTGGCTGGTTGATACTGTGAACTTGCCTTTAAAATGTAAATTATTGTGTGAGGAGAGAGCTCGTTGCTCGACATCTGATACGGCCTATTTTGGTAATTGATCCAGGAGTGTCACTCATCCTTTGTTTAGTATTGTTGTTGGAAGAGATCACATGATCAGTTGTTGAGTGAGTGCGTGTGCGTATATTAACTAAGGAAGCAAGTAATTCTCATTTATTTACATAGCGCCTTTCACACTCCAGAGCCACAAAGCGCTTTACAATCGCTGTGGGCATTTGTCTCTCGCTCCACACAAACATGGGGGTGGTGAGAAAGTGATCTGCTGATTTTAACACATTTCACTAAATCGTTTTTCCATTCAATTGACTCTATTTGCATGTTCTCTCTGAGTCTGTGTGACGCACTGGAAATTAGACAATAATTGTTGTTATAAGTTACAATTAGTTGAATTAGCTAAAAACAATGTGTGACCTTTACTTATTCTCTGATAATTACATTGGTATTTCATTGTTTTTATTATACCTACGTTATGATAAAACGTACATCCTGACTGTTTTATTGTTTATCATGCTGACTGTGCAACGCTTTGTAAACATGGTTTTTAAAAGTGCTATATAAATAAAGATTATTATTATTATTATATGAGTAATGTACGTTTTTTTATTTTTTTATTAGAGAGATATGTGACGTATCCATGGTGATTATACAAGAATCTGAGCTTATAACTTCAACTGGATCTGTCATTAAACATGTCTGGTCTGGTTTCCTCCGGGTGCTCCGGTTTCCCCCACCACTAAAAACATTACAATAGGTCTGAATACAATGATCACTGAATACTGCGATCCTTCTGTCATCACAGAGTGGAGAGAATGGGAAAATATGTACTGCACAACATTGAAAGTGCTTTGTGAGACCTTAGTCTGTGAAATGTGCTATATAAATAAAGATGACTTACTTTTTTGCCCCTTGGATTTACTTTTGTGTATGTACACTCCCTCAGAACCCATTTTAACATTTCTCTTGAATAGTGACAGTGGCTACAGTCAAATCGAGGAACTAACGCTCGCCACAAACCTGCCAAACCATTGACTCCCAGAAGCCCCGCGGAGCTGGCGATGCTCACCAGGTGCCCATGGTTGTTTGCGATCATGGCAGGAAGGAACGCCTTATATGTCTGTTGGGTCCAAAACAACAATAAACAGCACACTCAGACATCAAAGCTGGAGTCTGTAAAACTACCTGAGGAACGAGTAATTAGGGGATTCAAAAAATGTAGATAAAAAATGAGAGATCAGGTAGGAAAATAATATGAAGGATAGAGAGGAAAAGGTGTGAGACTAACTGAATTTTAGATTTAAAAAAAAACCTTTAATTTCTATAGGGATAAGTGGTAACTGGTGTGTTGTCTTGTTTTGTCTGTCTGATTCCATTTGCTGCAGTGGTATTGTCTTAGAATATGACTGTAGTTATATGTTTTTTAAGTCTAATTATGTTACTGCAGTGTGTTGTGTGGCATGTGTGTTGTGGCTGGGATCAAATAAGCACACAGCTCCTCCCACAGAAATGTGAAGGTGACCCTGAGGAGAACTACTTTTGGACAGTGGGTCTTCTCCGTCCAGGGCATGGATCTATTATAATAACTGGATAGGGTATTACTAGCTTGTAGCTGAATAACTCACATGCTCGGGGGATTCTTGCGGTACTGCAGACTAAACCAGACTAAATTCACGTGGGCTACCCAGAAATTTTCCCCATAGGACTTAATGCATATTAAAACAGCTCGACCTCAGCTGACAGAGAACCTACAGCTCTTACTCCCGCTCTGATGAACTGCTCTGATTGGTCAGAGCGCAGCCGAGCCCCTCTGTGCACGTGCGTGAGACCCGGTGTGAGACCCACACACGCATTATGGGCGATCATCCACTGCGCAGAACCGGGAGGACCAGACGATGCCCAAATACAGGCGAGTTTCCCATAGATCTTTGAGAGTTCCAGGCGACTTCCGCTAATCTTTCAGCCCCCATGCCGTCACAAAGCGCCACTGAGCACAACCATTCATTTGAATAGGACGCCATCTTGGATCGCCGGGGCTTGGTCCAGGGGGCAAAGCTCTTGAACTCTTTAAGTCCTCAGCTTGAACTGAACTGGCGACTGGGCTGGTTTTAAACATGAACTGAAATTATTTGTTAAAACAAAGCAGTCAATAAACGAGTTTGGGGACACCTGCCTTTGTGTAATGTGTATGTAACAATGGGTAATGTGTTTTAATTGTGTCAAAAAGCCATTCTAGGGACGGACAAATGCAAATCAGCCTTGGTTATAAATGTTTTGTTTCACATAGTGATTGTGTACACTTGTCCCTATCTTATAAAAAAAAAAAATTAATAATATTTGTTGGTTATGTTGATAAACTGTATGTGAAATTATGTATTGTGCAGGTTTGAAATAAATCATCTAAATCTAAAATCTAACAAACCAGAAGCCAAAGCTTGTCCAAAGGTCTGGATTCATGATTGAGTTCGGGAGAGGTTTAGGCTTCAACATTGTCTCAGTGAGCCGCAGGCGGGTTTGAAGCAACGTTGTAGACACTTTTTGACTCTTCTCTGTATCCTTCTGCTTTGTAAACGTTCTCACGGACAGACACGTACCCAGAAGTGGGCCATGGTGTTCACTTCCATGGTCTTCTCGATCAGGGAGTCTGGGGAATCCATGAACTTCTTCCCTGTGACAATCCCAGCGTTGTTCACCAGAATAGTGACATCTCCAACCTCCCGCTTCACCTGGGACACACAACGCACAGGATCACACTTTAATATATATATTTTAAGTTCTTTCATTGTTTGAGGCCAAAATAGTTTTAGAGGTTAGAACAATATTATTTACTTTTTACATTATGGAGATTTTTTGAACAAATAATTACTTTATGTTTTATGCTTTTTAGAATTGAGTTATAGCTTAATTTATCTAAAAATGGATTCATAATAAATATAAATTATTATTATTATTATGTGTTTATTTGATTGGGACAAAACAAGAAGCATTGTTACAGGAACCGATGCTATGTTCAAAGGCCTTAGCTTACAGCTAGTTTGCAGACCTGGTCCCTATTACTGATTGCATTTAGGTCCATTGTAAAGTGGAAAATAAAATGAGATATAACATGCCATTGAAGAATGTCATGAAGGGGAGAGTTTAGGGCAGAGAGATCAATTTTATTTTTTTGTTTAAAAAAAAAAAAAAAAAAAAAGGCTATTTCCAGGACCACGACGGATTTTCTGTTGTTTTTCTGGAGTTGCTCTGATTGCCTACTTTTCTAATTATCAACGGTGTCGATAAAGGTCATACTAAAGCTCCTCTGCTGCACTCTTGGTGACTATATTTTGAGTCAAAGCTGCGTCACAGCGTGCACCTGCGCTTCACTGTGTCCTGAACACACACTGCAAACGTCCCTCTTGTGCCGGCAAGAGGACGCCGTGACATCTGCATCAACACCGGGTCCTGGTGTCGGATCAAAGCCGTGACGTGATCATTGTCATGTTTGTGTGTGTTAAGGTTAAATTTTATTTTATTTTTTACAGAACTTTTATACTTTAGAAATGTTTTTTTTATATCTTATTCCTTCTCTTCTCTTGACTTGTTTTCACCGAGAGCCAAAGCAATTTTCTAGTCTCACTTCCTGTTACTTACATGGCAATAAAATATTGATTCTGATTCTGAAATGTTTGCGAGTGCAGATGCCTGGTTTAGACCGGGTCCAGTCCTGGTTCTCAGTCTCTGGAGGCGGAATTTTCCAAGTTTGTTGTATTTTTTCTGCTAATCTAAGACAACCAAATACAATGATTAGATTTGGATCTTGGTAATTGTGCAAAGGACAAGTCAACAAGTTTTGTCCTCCTTTTTTGGTGGAGAGGGAAGGCTTGGGGAGGGACATTCTGGTAAAACCTTCTGGTGAGAACCCTCATATCTGTTAATCATCTTGTAATAGCTTTGGAGAGGCCGTACCTGGTCAGCCACCTTGTACACCTCGGTCTTGCTGCTGCAGTCACATACGTAGGAGAACACCCTGGAGGCTCCACTTTCCCGGGCCAGTGCTGCGGTCTCCCTCAGCCCTGCCTCGTTGATGTCCCACAGCACCATAACAGTTTGGTGTGAGGAGAATTCCCGGGCCATGAGTCGCCCAATGCCACTGCCCGCCCCTGTGATCAGCACCACCTCTCCTGTGATGCTCTTCTTCCTCCGCGGGATCAGCAGGTGGACCAGAGACTCCAGGCTGAACCACAGAGACAGCAGCAGCACACGCAGGCTCTCAAGCAGGAAATGCATCTTTCACCTGCCCACACACAAACATTCTGCATGACATACCACGGAAATTGCAGATGCAGGGTCTACAGACAGTGGTGAGGGTCCGTGACACTCGACATTCAACAACATGTATGGACATTTATCAACATTTAAGGATTTGTCATCTGCCCATTATGGACCAATGGTTCCATCTGTTTTTATAATTGAATTTCTTGTGTTTGAACTGTTTGATTCTCTGATCTGTGTTGGCAAGTTCAACAGTTATGTAAAGTCCTCCGAGATAAATACTGTGGTGATTTAGGGCTGTACAAAAATTAATTGAATTTAAATTATTTGAAATAAAACAGTAAACCATCACATAGACCATACTTGGGCAAAGTAAAGCCCTGGACATTCTGTTCTAATTAATGAATGAAACATCTTAGATTAAATTTAACCATGTGAAATTGGGTTGGGCTCCCCACAATAGGGTGATATCCCAATATGACCCCCTGAAGAAAATAACTGCCCACCCCTGCCATAGACCCGCAGTTTAAATACTGTGGCAGGCTTACACGACCATTTCTCAACATGTTTATGCGTGCGTGTGTGTTTGTGTGTGTGTGCGTGTGTGTATTTGAGTGTGTGTGTGCTTGTGAGAGTGTGCATGAGTGTGTGTGTGTGTGTGTGTGTATATGTGTGTATTCGAGGAGGGTTAACATCTCTGACTGCCCTCTGGAGTTAAGACACATTGACATATTGCAAAACAAGCAACGTGTTATCAGTCTGAGCTACGTGTAGATAAAGCCTGATTATTTTCTCGTTATTGCACAATTACAATTGCAAATGTACAGTGGCTTGCAAAAGTACTATTACAACTAATGCTTAAAGTGGGGCTTACAGAAGTAATACACACCTTTCTGGGAGCGTATTACATCACCATCGTATTCCCAATGACCAGATTCAGATTCAGATTCAGTTTATTTGCCATTTGCAGTAAAAAAAACACATTGGAATACATTAGCAAAAGTCTCCAGTGTGCACAGACAAATACAGACAATAAAAGACAGAAATAAAACAAATAAAACAGTAAACAAATGTCACTGTGAAATTGATCGACTAAAACAGTTTCAAAACAAGTGCAAATCATTAAAGTGCTCTGTTCACACTGATAACAGCTTGTGGATAAAAAGCGTAACGAGATGTCCTGCATCTCAGAGAGCGATATCTTCTGCCAGAGGGAAGAAGCTGGAACATGGCTTTCCCAGGGTGGCCAGAAGAGTCATTAACAATCCTAAGAGCTTTGTTTAAAAGTCTGGATTTATAAAGAACCTCCAGAACAGGAAGCTCACAGCCCACGGTCCTCTTTGCAGAGCGGAGCACCTTGTTTAAAGCTCTCTTTTCTTTATCTGTGATGTTTCCAAACCACACAGACACAGAACCAACAAGTAAACTCTCAATGGTGCAGCGATAAAAGTTAAGCAGAATCTTAGAGTTAGTGGTAAATTCTCAAAGTTTACACAGAAAGTAGAGACGCTGACGAGCTTTCTTAACGACTCGGTCAGTGTTTTTAACCCATTTCAGGTCGTTAGACAGAGTTAAACCCAGAAACTTCCACTCCTCTACGATCTGCACCTGGGAGTTGTCGATTACGACAGGCAAATGAGAACTATTGCGACTGAAGTCGTAGACCAGTTCACATGTTTTGGATGCGTTCAACTGGAGGTTGTTAGTTTGACTCCACTGAACCACATTTTGTATCTCTGCTCTATAAGAGGATTCATCAGTGTCACTGATGAGACCGATGATGGTGGTGTCATCAGCATATTTAATGATCAAGTTTGAGTCAGAGGAGGACACACAATCATGAGTGTACAAAGTAAAAAGCAAAGGACTCAAAATACATCCCTGAGGAGAACCAGTACTCACAGAAACAACATCAGAAAAACAGTCATTGATTTTCACTCTCTGAGATCTGTCAGTTAAAAATCTAAAACACTTAAACTGAGAGACATGAGCTTTTCAATCAGTTTACCTGGGACAAGGCAGTTAAAAGCAGAGCTATAATCGATGAAAAGCATTCTCGCCACAGATTTACTAGTGTCCAAGTGACTGTGGACAGAGTTCAGAGCAAAGGAGATGGCATCCTCCACACTCCTGTTCTGTCTGTCGTGTGCCATTGACGTATTAATCCGTCAAATGCCTTTTTCGCTATTTTCACGTTCCCAGATGTCTATTGTATCTAATATGTATGGGGATGACTTGAGACCATATTTTATCGAGCCAGCAGGTGGCAGCATTGCTCTCTGAATGGTTTGAAAACATGTAGGTGCACATGTTGTGCCTCTTTTTTCTCAACTTTCTGGTGATTTCTGGTGATTTCAGTAAAACTTCCCTCTACTCAACGGAGGATTACAGGGGAACGAAAAAAGCTATAAACAAAATTCTTTTTGCTGAGGAAAGTAGAAGACAGTCCATTCTTTTAGAATCTGGTGTCGGATTTCAGATAGTCATAGTACACAATATTCTGTGGGTCTTCAAAAATCAGTAAAAATCATCATAAATGGCTGGCACTGTGGGAGTACCCTTTTCTGAAATAGGCTGGCATTCAATGAGTTAATGAAGTCCAGCACAAGACGCTCAAAAGTTTTCATAAGAACAGACGTGAGGGCCACAGGACGATAGTCATTCAGGCATGTCCACCATGTTCTCACATCTTTCCTTTTAGATTAAACAGACCTCGCCTATGTGTTATTTACTCTGTTCTGTGGTGGTCTTAGTAGTAGTAGTAGTAGCAGTAGTAGTAGTAAGAATGTTATTGAAAATGGTATGCAAATTAAACTATAAACTATGCAAAATCCAAACAAGATGCAAAATCCAAACAAGACACAAAATAAACAGAAATAAACCATTTGAAAAGCGTATGGACGAAGCAGATGCTATTTGGCTCCAACCCCTCTCACTCATTCAACACAACCTAACAAACTCATCTCCGAGCTATGATTAGAATGTATTGGTCACTAAACAGCATAATGAAGTCCAAAAAGCAAACCAGAAAGGTCAGGGATAAGATTACGGTCCTCTGCAGAGAGAAACCTACGCGGACATGGAGAGAACATGCAAACTCCACTCAGAAAGGCCCTGTTCTAACCAGGATTCCAACCCAGGATAAAGGTTATAGAAACATTTCTGGTGACTTTATACAGATATTTCCCCATACTTTGAACATCTCACAGAGCACTGTTCAATCCATCTCCTGGGAATGAATGAGTGTGGTACAACTGCAAATCTACCAATGCTCAGCTGTTTTCCCAATCTCACAGCTCAGACAAGGACAACACAGGTGCAGACACGAGAAAAATGATTATTCTGGAGGAGCTGCAAACATCTACAGCTCACCTGGGCGAATTTGGAATCTGTGTATGGGGTAAATATTAGTCATACACTACAGAAATCTGGCATTTATGGAACGACTGGTGAACAGAAAGCCAATGTTAAAATGAAGTCACTAGAAGAATGTGGAAGATCGTAATTGCAAAATGTAAATCCCAGTGACTAACTAATATAGTGGGTCAAAAGTTGAATGTCTAACAAACAATGAGAGTGAATTCATTAGTTTATGGGAGATGATAAACAGTAATGTGGAGACAGCAAAGATCCAGGACATACTCTTGGACTGGACATATGTTTTTTTTTTTTTAGGAGCCTGTGGGCAGCAAACAAGGCGTCCGGAGTAGGACACATCATCATGGGCCTACACTACATCACTAAAGCTGCTGAATTTATTATTATTTATTATAGAAGTTAAATAGTCCAAGGTAATCGAGGGAGAAAATACTGTCTTTTTAAATAGAGCTAATGCACCCATCATCATGTTTTGCGGAGGTTAGCGGTTACAATGGTTACCGTGACAGTGTTTACTGTTTTGCACAACATGAGGGTGAAGCTTGTTAATGAGATCCTGTGCCGCAGCTGTGATCGCAGCCGCTGTTTCTGTACACACTCAGAGGTAAACTTCACCAGTGCACACACACAAGCGCTGATGCGGTATTTCAGTTTCATGCAGTCCCTCAAAGTTATACTGGTATTACAACAAAAGGTATTTTATTGCCCAGGCAATTGGTACTCAAAAGCCCTGGTATGGTACTCAAAAGCCCTGGTATGGTACTCAAAAGCCCTGGTATGGTACTCAAAAGCCCTGGTATGGTACTCAAAAGCACAAATGGTACTCACCAGCCCTGGTATGGTACTCAAAAGCACTGGTATGGTACTCACCAGCACTGGTATGGTACTCAAAAGCACTGGTATGGTACTCAAAAGCACTGGTATGGTACTCAAAAGCCCTGGTATGGTACTCAAAAGCCCTGGTATGGTACTCAAAAGCCCTGGTATGGTACTCAAAAGCCCTGGTATGGTACTCAAAAGCCCTGGTATGGTACTCAAAAGCCCTGGTATGGTACTCAAAAGCACAAATGGTACTCACCAGCCCTGGTATGGTACTAAAAAGCACTGGTATGGTACTCACCAGCACTGGTATGGTACTCAAAAGCACTGGTATGGTACTCAAAAGCACTGGTATGGTACTCAAAAGCCCTGGTATGGTACTCAAAAGCCCTGGTATGGTACTCAAAAGCCCTGGTATGGTACTCAAAAGCCCTGGTATGGTACTCACCAGCACTGGTATGGTACTCAAAAGCCCTGGTATGGTACTCAAAAGCCCTGGTATGGTACTCAAAAGCACAAATGGTACTCACCAGCCCTGGTATGGTACTCAAAAGCACTGGTATGGTACTCACCAGCACTGGTATGGTACTCAAAAGCCCTGGTATGGTACTCAAAAGCACAAATGGTACCCA